TGCTCTTTATCTCTCCACACAGTGTACTTGTAGAGCAGTGGGGAAATGCTTTTGGTGGAAATTACTTTAGTCAGAAAAAGAATCCATTTACAATATGCGCCTTCTAACATCTTTCAGACAATGCATTGTATTAAAGAGGCATTTTTTGATTAATGTTTTATAAACATTTTTCAGCATGACAGCTTAAAGTCCCTGTAAAATTGTAAATGCGCGCGTGGTGTTCACTTCCATAAAGTCAAACGCCATCTCATATAGTCTAGTCGGATCCTGTCAACCACAGTGACACAGAATCAGTACCTGGGAGCATTAAAATTAATTTGCTTCATTTATATTACTGCAGTGATCGCAAGATGAAAAGAGTCCTATATTTAAATTTTACTTGAAAAAGAAAACTCTTTCGAGTAAGTTTGTTTCGTTTTTTTGAAATCATTGCCCTTTTTTTCTCCCTAGTTAATGAATGGAGTGAAAATGGAGTGATAGTCTACACAGTAACTTTATGATGGGGTCTGGATTAGCACAATTCCAATCCTTCAGTACTCTTCTTCCGAGCACTAAGACGCTCAGAGATGAAAGCCAAACAGTCGCTGACCCTAAGAAGCTCACAGCTTAGTCAGGGTCACACACACACACACAGAGCAAGCAGTAATAATAAATGCAGCAGATGCTAGGCTGGAATGCGCCTCAGTTGGTAAGCCTAGAGCAGAAAGGAGGCTTGAGACAACAAGGATGACCTCCCTGAGGAGGCAAGTTTGGGAACTGAGGGCTTACAGACTGGGCAGGTCAAGAAGTGGGCGACAAGAATTCTGGGCAAAAAAGAGCTCATTGGCAAAGACCGAGAGGCAAGACCTCTCGAGCCCCGGGGGCACAAGGCGGGAAGGAGAGGGTCCTGCGCCCCCGGCGGCTGGCGCACAGGGGGCATCGAGGCGGGTGGTGAGCCCTAGAGGGGCTTGTGCTCAGTCTGGTTCCTTGACTAGCAAACACCCCGCACAAGACAAGCCTGCAGGCGGAGAGAACGGTTTGGGGAGAGAGTGGCGGGCACAGGTGAGGCCCACCGTGCCCTGAAGGAAGGCCACGGGGAGGAGGCGTGGGTGGTCACCCAGGGCCTGCTGAGCCTGCCTACTGAGGCTGTGTCACATGGGGCGGTTAACCTGTTCAGCGAGTGCTCGTTGAATGAATGAATGAGTGATGGGGTGGACTGTTGAAAGGGTGGGTGAAGAGGACGAAAGGGCAGTGCATCACATGGGCTTCTGGAAAGCGAGATCTAGCCCACGTTCTCTGATTTGACTTGAAGCTCAAGTTTGGCCAAATTCATGGCCAGGTGACAGAAATCGCAGTGTGGGAAGCGCAGTGGCAGGTGCGGGGAATCTCCCTACTGCATCTCCCGTGTTCCTCCTGGCACTGCTGGACACCCAGCCAGGAGGCCCTAGAACAGAGATCATAAACTCGCTGCTTCCAAGCGATCGAGGCCACTGCCTGCACCACTCGGGCGTGGAGTTAATTCTCCTCCCCTCACTCACTTCTCCCAGCTTCTCTTTCCACTCTGACTCTTGAGAAAACGAAAAGGCAGTGAGCAGAAGCTACTGATTTGGGGCCAGAAAGGCAGACAGGGAGAAACTGAAGGAAGCACGGGAAAGAAAGACTGAGACACAGAGACTGCGGAGACACTAACGATTGAAAAGGAAAGTGAATCGTCGGATGGTTGAGGAGTAAGGGAGCATTTCAGGCCGAGGGCACAGAAAGGCTCCCAAAACAAAGAGCTTTGCTCTGGAGTCTCCATGTCCCCCACCACCACCCCCACCGTGCAGGGACCAGCCTGTCGCAAATCCACCCTGAGCGGGTGACAAGACATACCAAAGGGACCTGACCCTCATCTTCGGAAGCCAGGTTTTCCTCTCTGATTTTATTTTCAATCATATTTTTAACAGTCACCAGGAAGAGTGATGATAGGAAATCTGATTAACAATTAACAACAATGAGAGACTTCACTGGTGGCCCAGTGGCTAAGACTCCATGCTTCCAATGCAGGGGGCCTAAGTTTGATCCCTGGTTAGGGAACCAGATCCCACATGCCTCATCTAAAGATCCTGCAAGCTGCACTGAAGATTGTAGATCCCATGTGTCGCAAGTGAGACCTGGCACAGCCAAATAAACAAACAGTTAACCAGAAGGTATTGTAGGCTCACAAAGTGGTGAAGGGAAATCCCTGCTTCATTCAACAAATGGCTACAGCAGCTGCCAGTCATGGTAGAACCCTCTCTTGAGGTGGATGGCTGGGGTATGAGGCTGAGTGATAGAAGGTCTGTGTCTCCAGGGTGAGTTGGGCAAATGCACCAGCCCATCAACCCAGGGACGATTAAACAGCTAGAAAACTGGAAAGTGGAGAGGGGACAATGAATAGCCAGAGCTGGGGGAATAAAGGAAGAAGTTGGAGATCTCAGAACCTATCAGTAGAAGTCTGGAGAGGAAATGAAGATCAGACTTCCTAGGAGGGGCATAAGGGGCTATCCACTGGGGCTAACCCCCAGACACCTGCCCCGTCTCCAGACTTCGTGTAGTGCCCTCTCTGGGCAGAACTATCCAGGGAGCCATGAACTGATGAGGAGGAGTGATGTTTGCAGAGTCCCAACCCCGTCAGCAAATATGTACAGAGGAGTATACTGGAAGATGAAATGAAAGAGCTGAAGAACCAGCCCCAGGCCCAAAGAGAACCTCACATGCATTGGTACTAGGGACCACAGGAGGTAGAAGGTCAGTTGTACGCTGGAAGCTCCTAGAAGCCAGCTTCCATCTGGGGTTCCCTTGCAGCTATGAGGGTAGGCCTCACAGTTGCTGAGCTGCTGGCTGATGTGAAATCACAGGAGCACCCCTGTGAGAAGCAGGGGAGTCCAAGGTCTGCCGCCCCGGGAGCACTGCTGGGAGGAACCCGGGGTGAGAGAGTCCCAAAAAGACTCTGGGTCGGAGAGCTCTTTGCATCCCAGGTCCTCTTCTGCTTCATGGAGCCACCATTCCCAGGATGTCTTGAAGACTTCAGAGGCCTTGACCCCAGCCTGACACAGAGAACCAGAAACCCAGGGGACCTGGATTGCAGCAAAGCCCCCACCTCTTGGGAAAGTTATCCAACCTCTAGGCATTTCATTCATACAGGAGAGCCCTTGACAGCACCTAGCATCTAGTTAAGCATTCACCGCACACAGAAACATTATTGTCATCATTACTGTTATCTTTTCATCGCACTACAGTGAGCTGCTGAGGTCGTTTCCATTAAGACACCTTGTGTATCTTGCTTATTGGAGAGGTAGCTCTGCGACTGTAGCTGTGAACTTGCTTTGGCTTACTGAAGAACAACACAGAGCCCACCCGAGCATAGCCAAGAAAGTGGAACTCGGGTGATTCAGCCCAGCAGCCACAGGCCTTGAATTTTGAGCCAGAAATCCCTGCTCTGATCACTTTTAGAAACAAATACTTCCATATTTACATCATTTTCTCCCTTTATGCCCCCGTTACTCCACCCCAGCCTCCAACTCATTCACATCATCCTTTTGGGCCAAATAACCTTTCCTGAGAATTTCCCTGGTGGTCCATTGGTTAAGAATCCACCTTCTAATGCCAGGGACACAAGTTCGACCCCTGGCCAGGGAACTAAGATCCTACATGCCTCAGCACCACAATGAAGATCCAGAGCAACCAAAAAAAAAGTAATAGCCTTTTCCGAAAATAGGAAGAATATATGTTTGGGTCTTCTTCATTTCTCATTGTAATAACTTTCTGGAACCATAATATTGGATGCTGCTAATTCAAATCCAATAAATGGATTAAGCATATCACATTCAAAAACAAAGCTCCTTTGTTCTTTATATCAGTGAGAAGACAGAAACTGTGCAAGACTAAACATTTGGAGCTTCGAGAGAGACATTGTTTGGGAAGAGTTAAGCGTTTGCAGTTTATGGCAATAATATGTGGGGCTATGAAAAAGAAAGCAGCCATGAAATACATTTTTGCATAAAGGTTTGAAATTTATTAGAAGGTAAAAATAATTGAAGAAGCAGAGCTTTCCTCACCAGGTTATAATAAAATGTTATTTATGGGCCATCATTGCATGTGTTTAGGAGCTTGGTTCCTTTTCAGTGGCTGTTCTCAAAGAAACAAAAAGAAAGCTAAGCTCTTAAAGCTGTTCAGATGACAAAACTGATGTGCATACACAGTCGTCTGATGACTGGGCCACATTAAAGCAATTGGTGGTAACAGTCAAATCACCGGAGTCTGAATTCTGTTATAGAAGCTTAATAGGTACACGTGCTAGGTGGGTACTTACAAAATCTTCATGCTTTGCCATGGGTACAACAGAGCAGCAGACGCAGTAGCAGGATCCATTTACCTAAGTTCTGGTAAGACCTTCACTGTGGGGTTTAATCACTCAGCTCAGATCTTAGAATTTTCATCTGCCATACACAATACTGCTTAAAGCGCTTTGAGCTTCTTGGCCAAAAGAGTGGGCAAAGCCTTTATGACTGTCTTTTTGGCTGAAGTACCCTCCTATTTATCTTATCAAATCCTTTCAGCCCCAAAGTGAACTTAGGTGCTTTGAAATGGTGTCTAGCAGGCCTCCCTAAAGACCAGTGGAGTGTTTTACTACTAAGCAAATGATCCATTTTTAACCTCTACTGGTATACCTCAGTCTTCTCGAAGCAACTCTCTTCCACACTGTCTTCTCTCCTCTCCTTGTTAGACAGGCAGTGAGAGTTCCCAGTGCCCTTGAACTGACCCCCTTTTCAGTTTTAATCTGTTCTAGAGCTTAGAGCTTTACGTAGTGAAAGGAAGATGGAAAGATTCGGTGATTCATTTGAGACAGTCCCTGTTTGGTTCTGTGAATATCCACAGGGGAAAGATGGTGCATGCCAAGGTCAAGTTTTAATGGCCCGTGTCTTTAGTTTGACGACTAAATTTGATGAATTTAGTTTGATGAATTTGCCTTTAGGTTTTGTGTCTTCTTTGTTCGTCAGGAATCCCAATGCTGAAGATCGTTTTTGCAGGCCATGAGTACCTCTCTCTAATATCCGTCCCCTTGCTCATCTACCATCCAGTGCAGATCCTCCTGGGGAGTGTGTTGGTGCCAACAATAAAGTCTTGGATGGTGTCAAGGCAGAAGGTGAGACTCTAGAAGGATCTTATTTGGATCCAAGTCACATTGAAATGCTATTTCTGAATCTTAGCCACTCATGCATGTTAGCTTTTGCACATATAACCTTGTTCTCAAGTACACATTTTCTTAATTAAATTCAATAATAATGATGCATTAATCTGTTTCAACTTGAAAAAGAGAGTTGAGGACCAATTGTTCTACATTGTTATAAAAGCACTATGATACTTAAAATGCAGTCTTTAAAAGCTGTTTTTAATTTGCTCATGTTGAAGGGCATATTACAGTGAAGTAAAAGTTCAGTAAATATACTCAAAATATACGTGCCCCACCATTCGGGTGCACACCAGCTTTGCCTCGCCTCTTCATTCACATGTGTCCTGATTTCATGTTTTTCTAAGCATAATAGCACTTGGATTTATCTAGAATGTCTGCTTTCTCTTTAATTTTCCAGACGCTTCACAACTTCTTTGTATTGCCAAGCTATGTGTTTGGGAATTTAATAAGAGTTCAGTAGCAAACAAGGCCACACAGTGATGTCAGTTTCACCACACTTGGCTCAAAAGCCTTCTTACTTATTTGATATTTGTGGATCTCCTAAATTATGTGCGCTAAGTCGCTTCAGTCATGCCCAATTCTTTATGACCCTGTAGACTATAGCCCTCCAGGCTCCTCTATCCATGGGATTCTCCAGGCAAGAATACTGGAGTGGGTTGTCATTTCCTCCTCCAGGGGACCTTCCCAACCCAGGGACTGAACCCACATTTCTTATATCTCCTGCGTTGGCAGGCAAGGGTTCTTTACCTTTGGCACCATCTGGCAAGCCACAAATTATATATTAAATTAAAAACCAAATAAAATAAAGTGAGTGACTCATACAAAATGTAGATGCAGCACCTACTGCAGAAGCACCCATAGAGCACCTCCTTCCCAGCAGCTCAGACTTTGCAAGGCTACTTTCAGCCCACTCATAAGGTGGCAGCTGTCACAGGAGATGAGTAGGAGAAGGAGACAGCCAGTGACGGAGCCCCCTGTGTCGTGTCCTTCAGCTCAGCTCAGTCGCTCAGTCGTGTCCGACTCTTTGCGACCCCATGGACTGCAGCACGCCTGGCCTCCCTGTCCATCACCAACTCCCAGAGCTTACTCAAACTCATGCCCATCAAGTCAGTGATGCCATCCAGTCATCTCATCCTCTGTCATCCCCTTCTCCTCCTGCCTTCAATCTTTCCCAGCATCAGCATCTTTTCAAATGAGTCAGTTCTTCGAATCAGGTATTGGACCAAAGTATTGGAGTTTCAGCTTCAACATCAGTCCTTCCAATGAATATGCAGGGCTGATTTCCTTTAGGATGGACTGGTTGGATCTCCTTGCAGTCCAAGGGACTTGCAAGAGTCTTCTCCAACACCACAGTTCAAAAGAATCAATTCTTTGATGCTCAACTTTCTTTATAGTCCAACTCTCACATCCATACATGACTACTGGAAAAACCATAGCTTTGTCTAGACGACCTTTGTCAGCAAAGTAATGTCTCTGCTTTTTAATATGCTGTCTAGTTTAATCATAGCTTTTCTTCTTTGAGGAGCAAGCGTGTCTTAATTTCATGGCTGCAGTCACCACCTGCAGTGATTTTGAAGCCCAAGAAAATAAAGTCTCTCAGTTTCACGTCCTAAGTGTCCTGAAAACGGAATAGCCCCGCCACCACCTGTTAAGCTCCATGTATGCTCAGCACGTCCAGCTTCACCAGGTTCAGAGTGTGGACCCTTGAGCCCGGCTGCCAGTTCTACCACCCTGCCCATGCGACCCTGGCTGTGTTCCTTCACTTCTCTCTACCTGTCTCTGCCACTCTAAGACTTATGATAACATCTGCTCTTTAGAGTTATGGAGGATTATGTGGCAGGTGTTTGACAAAAGCCAGCTGATACTATCACTGTCCTCATCACTGAAGTTTTGTATTCTCTATGACTGTTTGTAGCAAGCTCTGCTATCCCCACGGAACACACGGGAACCAGGCCCAGAGAGCTGAGCAGCTTGCCCAGAGTTATACGGGTAGTGTAGTCAGTGCGAGAGTTAGGACTGGAACCGTGGTCTGTTTGTCCCCCCAGATCTTCCCCCCACACCACGATGATGCTCCAAACAGAAATACAAGATTGCTTTTATCTAATTTATTGTAGTTCACTTACAATGTTGTGTTAGTTTCAAGTGTATAGCAACATGATTCGATTACATGTAAGAGTAATAATGTGTAGTCTTTTTCAGATTCTTCTCCATTATAGGTTATTACAAGATATTGAGTAGTTTCCCTGCGCTATACAGTAGGTTCTTACTGTTTATCTATGTTATATATAGCAGTGTGTGTATGTAAATCCCAAGCTGTCCTAATTGCTCTCCCCCACTACGAGACTGCTTTTAGAAGGGGAGCCCTAGGTCCCCAGAATTCTGAGAGAGTAGCGCTCCAGCACCTTCCCCCGTCTTGTTACTGAACAAAATGTGAGCAAACGGCATTCTGTGCTGGGGGCCACGCCAGGCTAGTCGCTTCCCACTCAGAGCTGCTAGAGGAACTGTTTAATAACCTTTTTTTCTTTTACTCTTTTTCCCCTTCGAAAACTTCCACTTGTATTCATGCTCATGGCTAATGATGTGTATGTGCACAATAGACTAGAATTTATACATATCAATTTTGACAAGGAATGAAGAAAATTATTTGAAAATCCCAATATTCCATCAATGATATGCAATCCTAGTAAACTGCAAATTAATCAGAATAAAGTTTTCTTCTAAATGTTTAAAAGCTCTGGGATTTATCCTACAGAGTAACAGAAGCATGTCCCAAAAGGGAAACTAAACTGGACAACGCCACTCATTTTTTCCCATTTGTATAGAAATCACTCCCAACCAGGGGGCCACTGACTAATGTGGAATCACCCAGAAGGCTTGAAATTATTTAGCCATCCCATCTGGCCACAAAAATAAATAGAAAGTGTCCATCATAAGGGTATCCACGAGTGTCTCCTCCACCTTGCTGATAATACTAAGACCCACAGGGCCCATCTAGCACAGCAGAGATGAGTAGCCATGCCATAGTCTGTGGCCAGTGAGGTGGGCAGGTTTGGATCCGGGAGTTTGGATCACGGCTTGTATAATGCTGTCTAGGCAGGCCTCTTCTTCTTCCTTGTAGCATAAATTATCTGGTGTTAACTGATGCTCTCACATTGTTCGTGGATACAGTCCAACTCTGAATGTCCTGTTTTCCTTTCTTGCAGGGAGTGAAATTGATGAGGCCAACAGTGTGACAGAGGAGGCAGTCGTTCCACAGCCATGTATATATGTACAGGATTGTACTTATGGTTCTGAAGACTTGTATTTGTGAACATTGCTTCGATGCATATTTTATTTTTTTACACACAAAAATATGATATAACTGTTTAAAGTGCCTTAAAATGTATTTGATGAGAGCATTATTTCCAAAACCTACTTTGTTGGTTACTGCCAGGGGTGGTACAGTATTTTGGAGTTGTTTAATTTTCTTTTTTCCTAACGCAGAAAACAGTCATGAAAGTGACAAAAAAACAAACACGTTTTCCTCGCACCACCTTCCCTGCACTAAGCTCTCTCCTAGTTACTGTACTGTTTGAAATGAGGTCACATCATCAGGAAAATGCCCTTCCCATGACAGTGAATATTTCCAAAATCGTATTTGATTTACCATATGATTCTTTCTTTTTCTGCAACTGTGACATGCCTCTTCCTTATCAACTCAGCAGGGGTCACAGACTGAATAGAGGCTGAAAAGCATAAGTCATCTGCATTTCTTGATATCATTTTTTAAGACATTCCTTCAAATAGTTTCCACACAGAAATTCCTCAGTTCCATTACAAGAGACTGTGGTGTTCTGTGTCTTAAATTTATTATAAGCTGCTTCAAAGAAAGGGCCTGATGTTTGAGTTATGAGTCAAAGTACATGAGGTTTCGAGATAAACTACAGGATTTGGGTTTCAGGATTTTTTCACATGTTTTCCCTTTTTCTTCCATCATTTCTTTCTTACCTGTTTTCCAGCATACTTGGAAACTCCCAAGAGCCAAATGTGAGACACCGAAATGTTACAATTAGTTTGAGTGGCAACAATTAATGATGGATTATTCCACATTCCACAACTGAGACCAAAATTGTTTTCCTGTTACACTGATGTGCTGAGCACAAATTTCCCCTTTTAGCCAGAAGCAGCCTGTTACATCTTTGGATCAAGTACACTTAAGGCATTTGAAACGTTACTAATGAGAATTTTCCTTGGCAGATTTGACAAATGTTTGCAACATTTTTTTTAAATTAAATCACATTGCTGTTATGAATAGATGAAGATATAAAGGTCATCGAGGCAAACAAATGTTATATATACACATTCTGTCTAGCTATATGGAAAGAAAAACAGACACAGAAGATGTAAAACCATTCATTAACCAAAATAGCAAGGACAATTAGTTCCAAACTGGCATCAGTTTGCCATGGAGTACCCAATATTTGCTTCTACTGTGGCTGGAAAACCTCTCACGACCCAGTTAGAGAATCAAGTCATTGCTTTATAGAAATGAGGGAACGCTTTTTCTCTGTTTCCTGCACACCATTCTGTCACACCTCTCTACTTTTCCTGACTTAACAGATGACACTGGCATCCTGAGTTGCACTGAGGCCACATCATCGCTTTAGCAGCTGTTTTGCTGTTATTTTATCAATAGTAAAAAGTCATTCCTTAGAAGCTCACCGTGTTTACCAATATCATAAATTTACAGTACTATTACTGCCAGCTCTTATCTTGTGTTACTTCTGAGTCATTTCAATGTCATTGAAACTCATAGATTTCACAAGAGTTAGCCTCAGTGTAAGTTTTAAGGCTAGTGCCAGACCCTGCAAAAATCTATGCTAAACAGGCTATTTGTCAAGAATTCCTATTGTCAACAAATTCACTTGTGTCTGAAACTACAATAATTTTGCTTTATATTTTTGATGCTTATGTATGGAGAACAGAAAGGTTTTTTATGTTTTTTTCCTACAAACTTCTTTGAATTTCAGAGTAAATGGACTTGTCTGTCTGAGCTATCATAAAAATCTGCAGCATAGTTTAGAATACTGATTTTTTTCCCCCTCAACTTATCTACCTCTATTGTCTTTCACCTATAGTAGGTGTGACTATGGGATAAAATTCAACTAAAAATGCTATAACATTTTATCTTTTGCTTTAAAAAAGTGTGTTCTGTTTTCAAATAATCTTTACGTAGTGAGTTTTGGTGGCTTTATTGATATGTTTATGCCTATTTCTTTTTTTACACAAATACTGTGCATATTTTTCCATAAAGGACAAAAAATAAAATCAAATTTTATTTTTAATTCATGCTTACTGGGATTTAATTATTCATATCTTGAAATATGTCCATGCACTGTTTTACACATTTGTTTTGTCTAAATGTATTTATGAAAGAACTACATTATATTTATGTTTGCTCATTTTTCCACCTGGATTTTTTTAATGGCTGTTATGAAATTTTATTTTTTAAATGGGTGAGAATATTCGTCTTTTCATGTGTTCTTTTCTAAGTTTTAAATTTTTGTGGGTTCTTTTTATTCTTCCCTCTTCTGGTTAAAACTAACACACCTCTGGCTAATGTTCAGTGTTTATGCTAAATACCAAATTTTTTAAAAAGGATTGGTGAAGTGATGAAGTGGATTATTTATGATGAATGGAAGATGAAAACAATTCTATGATTAAACAAAGATGTTTCAGAAATCACAAGAGAACCTGTGGCTTATTTTTGACCTGGTTTCAAATACACTCATAATGCCTTTCAAGTATCTGTAGATTTCTTTTTTTTTGTTTATTCATTCCAATACTCTTCTATTATCTGTGGTAAAATGGGTATAAGTTCCATAGTCTTCCTGTATATCCATCTCAGTAACCCCCCACCATGCCATACCATTAAAATCCAGAAGTTAGCCCTTGCTGGTTAGAGATTTTCTCAGCATCAGGGTTGAGAACCAAGAGAAACATACTCAGCAGAAGGGACAGAATATAGGTGATCTGAGTTTTTTCCACCCTTGGCAATTTTTTCAAGGATAAGAAAGGTGGACTCCTAGAATGCAGAATGCCCTTTGCAAACCCGGAGTATCTTTACGGGTGAGACCCTTGTGTAGCGGGCTTCCCAGGTGGCACGAGTGGTAAAGAACCCATCTGCCAGTGCAGCAGACAGAAGAGACCCGGGTTCAATCTCTGGGTCAGGAAGATCCCCTGGAGGTGGGCATGGCAACCCACTACAGTATTCTTGCCTCAAGAATCCCATGAACAGAAGAGCAACAGGGGCTACAGTCCACAGCGTCGCACAGAGTCAGACACGACTGAAGCGACTTAGCATGCACGCACCTCGTGTGGAATTCCATACCTTTGTATTCTTGTTTTGCTGTCTTGGCTTCCCTGTAAGGCTGACGGAAATGTCACCTCCTCCAGGAAGCTTTCCTGCTTGCCCAGCCAGTGCTAGACTCACTCCCTGTTGACATGCCCTTAGAAGGAGTCCCTCAAGTCTTCTAAAACCCTTCCTTGTCTAATCATCACTTTACATTTCTGTCTCCTCCATTGTGGTCTGTGGTTTGTTTTTTTTTTTTTTCTTCTGTGCTTAACACAGTGCCTGACTCAGATTTATAACCCCCAAAAATATCATTTTCCAAACTGTGACCTTACGAGGTAGGACAAGAACCTTCATAATCATAAGTGCTCTTACCTACACAAAGGTCATTACTAAGTTACAAGGAAAACTGTCCTTTTTTGCTACTGTTCCTATTCTGTGCTCAGTCACTCAGTCGTGTCCGACTCTGCGACACCGTGGACTATATAGTCCACCAGGCTCCTCTGTCCATGGAATTTTTCATGCAATACTGCAGTGGATTGCCATTTCCTACTCCAGGGGATCTTCCCGACCCAGAGGTCAAACCTGTGTCTTCTGCATCTCTTGCCTTGGCAGGTGGCTTCTTCACCACAGCGCCACCTGGGAAGACCATACTACACTTGAGCTCCGCCAAGAGGCCAGGAAGCGCTTTCTACCCTGAGTGCTGCTAAGAGAAAGGCATGGCTTCAGAGCTGTGTAAATACCAGCTGTCCAAGTTGAGACTGCAGTGTGATACACAAACAGCTTTCATCTTTTATATTTTGACAAAACAATAAACCCTCAACAATGCAGGCTAAATCAGCTCGGGTTGATCTGAATTAGTGAATACTTAATATGCATAAAAATAAAGGGTTTTCCTTATCAGAATTCTGACATACTTACTATAAAGGCTAGATCCAAATTATGACTGTCATAGTATTGGTTTATGTAGATATATACAAAAGGTCTTATAAGAGCTTATTCTCTTCAGCAAAGCAACTAATCTTATTTATACTATAGAACAGTTTCTCAAATGTGAGTAAGATATTAACATCACTTAAGGGGATGTTTCTCATAGACCTAAGTTTCTCATAGACCCTGAAGAACTTACCTGTAAAGCCAACAATGAGAAACTGTATTAAGCACTAAATGTCACTCTAACCATGGGTCGGTACCAATATGCCTATAAACAAAGATGCAGACAAGAGCCCTGAGGTCTTAGGGCTGAGCCGAGTCACAAGGGAGGTCACCCAGAATATCCCAGACCCCCCACCCCACCCCACTGAGGCCTCCAGCATCTCAGACTCCTCACCCACACATGGAATTGTTCCAGCTCCTCCATCTCTACCCATCCCTGGACACGCTGTGTTTGGTGGGGTACACAAACTTGAAATGTTAGGAAAAAAAAAAAAGAATATTAGACATCCTGTTCCCACCCATCTCCCAGCCACCCTCTCACCTGGAATTTCTCACTCAGCACCCTTCCTGGTAACCCCATCCGCCTGCCCCTTACATCGCTCCCTCTTCCCTCCCTTCTCCCCTAACTCCCAGGTTCACGGGTGTTCAGATGTTGTTCATTCTCTGACTTCCTGAACTTGCCTTGGTGCCGACAGCTGTATAACTTTCCTCTTGTTGAGCTGGCTCGCATTCCTACACAGGACATTGGAACCAGGCAATATGAGGATTCAGGTGTGTCCTGAACGAGCTATAGCCGAAACACTGGGGAGTTGTGACTCTTCTTTCTATGCTAACAAAACAGGCAACGTTTGTGAGTGGGCAATTTATACAAATTGCATAATAGACATTTTTAAACATTCAGTCTTACCAGAGACTAGAAGTATTCATTTAAATGAGGTACTAGTTTTCACCTATGGGATTGACAAA